TTATTTATTTATATTTTTTCTTAAAATATTTTTTTGTTATTCCATTTTCACACTAAATCATACACACATCAACACATTTGTGTGTGAAATCTTTGCGTTTGTTTTTGTTGTTGCACATTTTGTTAGCTAATTTTCGCCCAGTGTCATGCACTTTGATGAGCTTCTCGCATTTATGCAAAAAAGCCGCCCATCTTTCCCCCAGTACGACAACTACGCGATTCGTTTGCACTACCGTTATGTTATTTATTTGTTTTTGCACACACTTGTTTTGCACATTGCACCGATTGGCTACGCTTTGGCCAAATGCCAGTTTGCAAACATAAGATTGAGTAAATTTTTATTATCTTTGATTTTTTACTACATACAAACCTACAAAAATTTATTTTTTGTGGTATATTTTACTTTTTTTGTCAATGTTTCAAAAATTTGTTTAAACGAATCTTTTCTTTAGAAATTTTAATACAAAATGTTTTCGTACTGCAGACATTAAACTTTTCTTAACAATTTCAATTTAAAAACTATATTTTTACGAACAAAAAGGCTTTTAATAAAAAAACGTAATAATTTTTTTTTCATTTTTTAACAAAATAATTTTTTTCATATTTTAACATTAACAATTAAATTGATTTGTGACAGTTTTAAAGCAAAATTTTAGTAATATTGTTTTTTCTGTAATTATAATAATTTTTTTCTATTGTTTAATTTTTATAAAAATATATTTACTGAAAATAACGGCAAAAAATAAAATATAATCATATTTTCAAAATTAGTTTTTTTATAAAAAAAAATGTCGATTATTAAAATTATGACGTAACATTGATTTCGACAATTTTTTAAAATAAAAATAAGCTGTTTAAAAAACTTTACCAAAAAAAAATATTTTTTATTAAAAAACTTTTCAAAAATTACTTATACCCTTTTTTTGTAATTTTATTAATTTTTTTATCTCGTTTTCGTTTTATAAAAAAATAACATTAAACATACTCATATTTTCACAACACAATTTTCTTATAAAACATTTCTATTATTAAAATTATGAGCCAATATTTGTATACAAAAATAATATAATTAAAAAATTTTACAAAAAAATTTATAATATTTTTTATGAAATTATTTTTTGTTAAAAAAAAACTTTCAATTCTGTTAAGGCTCTTAGCATCCCCACAAGTACTTACATATATGTATGCACATATTTACATAGGAGTCTTAAACATACACACATCCATATCTATAATTATCTGCATTACTCTCGCTCTGATATTTAGACTCTTACTGTCACTGGCTGCAGCAGCAAATTAAATTAATTACCAACACTTAACACCTTGTCGCTGATCTTTTGTGTCAAAGCGTACATACCTACAGCCAAACATACATACCTATTTATTTATGTACATTCGAACATAGCGAGCCACAAGCAATAAATATAGTAGGCAATAACGTACGCTCTTACTTGCCACTTGCTTTTATGTATACATATTTCTGCATAAAACAATTTTAACGCCAAAGGCAAACATGTGAGCATGTATGCAAGCATGTGTCTGTGTGTGTGTACATCAATATCTTTTTTTTCGCACGCTGACCCCAATAATTGGCGTTGCGCCAACGTTGACACGCTTGTAGCGCCGCAGATGTGCGCAAATATGTCTACAGATAAGCATAGTAATGCCGTTACGTGGCGTTAAAAATATTGAAAAAAATAGGTTGTGCGCAAGTAGCAAGTAAATAGGGAAAAGCAGATTTTTTTATACTTTTTTCTCATATGCTGCAAGCTTAGCCGAAATGTAAAGCTTAAATTAAGTTCTTTTTTATTTCAAAATTAAAAAAAAATGTGTTGCCGTTATATGTATATATAAGTCTAATACGCACCTCCATCATTTTGCGCCTAGAAGTATGCTTCTCTTGCCATTTTTAGTAAAAATAAATAAATAAAAATTCAACATTTCAAGTAATTTTCTTGCGGTTTCACCACACGAACACATACAAGCACACTCATATATTATATATGTATACTACACACGCATACGCGTGCATAGCAATCACCCTTCTGCAATTGCACTAACTTCACTTTTCAAACGGAAATGTGCAATTTTTCAACCAACAATCAACCTCCAATCACCGTTAACTACCTTTCAGAGTCGCGATTGCAACGACCAGACAAGCTCTTTCGTTTGTCGTCGTCAATTGTTGCGAATATTTATTGTTATGCATGCCGAAGCGGCATGTGCTGCACGCATTTATAGGAAAATAATTTAAATTTGTTAATAGTTTGACAGTTGACAGTGGATTTATGGCTGCCTGGCAGTGCTGGTACGCAATGCGCGGGTACTTGGTTTATAAACAAGCAGGAACTGTTGAGAGAGAGAGAGTGTGCGACTTATATTAAGCGCTTAGGTAGCGGCAGCTTGTTATTTTTTAAATAAATATAATAATGTTGTAGAAAAAAATTTCAAAAATTTAAAAAAAGATAATTATTTTTCAAACAAAAAATTAAATGCCAACCCTTCAAAAATTCAAATTATGTTTCTGAAATTTCTTTAAAATAAAACATATACAATTTCTTTACTAAGAAAAAAGTTTAGAAATTTGTAAATTTCTTGTTGCATATTTTAAGGCGCATAAGCAGATGCTGTAAAAATTCTAAATTATTAAAGAAAATAAAATGTTAAAAATGTGCTTGCAAACCTCGACTCAACATACATCAATCCACATTGTTAAATGAAAATGTAAAATTAATACTTCTGCAAAAATCAGCTCGACATACACTTTACTGCCATCAATTAGTTTAATTTTCGCACCTCGGAAAT